TGTCAGCAGCTGTTCTCCACCGTGAACTATGTTAAAAACAAATGCCGCTCACGGCTCACAGATGACAGCTTACAGTCCTGCGTAAAGATGAGAGTCACTTCGTACAGCCCTGATTTGCAGACGCTGTGTGCAGAGGTTCAGGAGCAGAAGTCCCATTGTAAACATATCACGGCAGATCCGATGATGTTTGCATGAACACTTTTCACACACGGTTGCTGACGCATACAGCTGGCTGTAGCTTTTCAGCTCACAGCCCGACACATACCAACACAACAGCACAGATGTAAAGGCGGCGAGGCGTGATTGCAGGTGCCGCTCAGGTGCGTCCCCCTCCCCTGCAGCGGCGCTGCAGACCACGCCCCACCACGCACATTAACCAGGTAAAATACATATTTAGGGAGAATTTTGCAAATATCTATTTTTCATTTTTTAGCAGAATAGTGCTTTTTTTTCCATTTATTTTTTAAAAGTCAGGTCAAGGCTCCAAAAGCCCAAAGGCGATATAACAGTTTTTGTTTGCTACATGGATCATTTTAGTTCAGCTGGGTGTCTTTCCTTTGGTTATATTTCTTTAAGAGTTCAAAATGTGTTAATAACATAAATAAAATGTAATTTTCTCTGTAGCACTTCAAGGATTTCATAAGCAACACACCTTAGTTGTTCAAACAAGGCATAAAGGTAAAAAAACAATATATACAGTGTTATCTTCATTTTAGATGTCAAAAAGTATTTGCGGCTCCCAGTGTTTTCTTTTGCATGGAAACCTGGTCCAAATGGCTCTTTCGGTATTAAAGGTTGCAGACCCCTGATCTAGTAGAATCAGCTCTCCTTTTTCATATGTGGCATCACCAGGGCACGGCCCTGATCTGTTCTACCAATGTTCTAATAACTTCCACTTTGGCGAGTTATCATCCAGATGATGAATGCAGCAATGGAGTCATTCTTCTTTAAATTGACTGACAGAGCACCACTATTCCTCTTGATATTATATGATACTTTAATTCAGGGCTCATGGCAAAAATGTATTGAAAAAAGTCACAAAAGTCACACAACCTGAAATGGTAGCATAAAACTACTATGAAAAAAGTATACCTCTGGGGGTCTGCACAGTAGGATGAGCGTTAAAGTTACTAATTGGTGAGTAACCTTTTCACACAGTAGGAGGTTTATGGACAGTCTGTAGAGCTTGCATTGATTTACATTTGACATTAATGGATATAATGTACATGTTAGCGCAGAGTCTGAATGCTAAACTGCCACATGTAACTGATAAGCACAGTGGGTGTTTTAACTGTTCACAAGTCTGAACTTGGAATACAAAGAAGTGCAAAGTTTTAAGAGTTAGGAAGTCATTCAGCCTTTCCATGCTAATGGCAGTTAGAAAACTGCAAATAAAAGCTTGAATAGAAACTTGGTAATTGACAGGTTTTAAGAGGTGAATGGCCAAAGTACCATTTTTAGCTATGATAGAAACATTCTATATGTCTAGCCAGAAAGGAAACATGATAGTATAAATTTAGCTTAGAAAGAAAATAAAATGGAAATTGGAATGGGGTGGGGCTGTGCCGATTATCATTATTCTCTCAGAGACTTAAAAGCAAACCCCACTAACCTAGCAGTTTCTGTGGTCTTTATATAACTCTGAACAATATTTCAAATAATGTGACCCATGTGTAGTACAAAAGAAGGCTCTGTCTGGAGTCGTAGTGTAATTGACTGCAGCTCTAACTAACTCTTCAAAATGCTGCAGCAGGACATGAACACAGTTTCGTGTTACGGCTGTACATTATATAGCATGAAACTATTAATTAAAACCCAACACACAAGACGATAGAGTTAATGGTGTGTGCTCCATGTTCAGAGGGCAGTCATTTGAGAATAATTGTATGCATCTGAAGTGCAGAAGGTACCAGTATCCCCTTAGCAACTGTTTGGTAGACTCAAGTAGGTGTTCATCCTGAAAATGTCATAGCACTACATCAAGGCTTATGATATCTGATCCGGCTTGCTGCCGGTAAGTGAACTCTGCTGAGGGCCTAGTTTTAGGTGAAAGTCTGGTTTATGATCCTGGCGGAATTTCATTAAGGTGAGGAGTGGGAGGTGGAATGATATTGCCTGCCTTTGACCCTCTGTGGTCAGAACTCCTGTGGTTTCAGTGGTCAGGGGGTATCGCATAGTGCTGAGAACAAAGAAATGTAATGGCTCCCACTTGTCCTCCGTGGGTTCAAAGGGAATGGCATGGCAATGCCAATTAGCCAGCTTGTGTTACAGAATTGAACATAAGTGCTGTTCCCTTCAGTGCCCCCACCCCCCCACCCTGCGTTGTACTCCTAACAAGCAGCATCTACAGCAGACACCCTGCATAACTCTGCATATTTTGTGCACCGCCAGACATCCTGTTCTGTTTTGTGTCCCAAAAAAAGCAAATAATTCCCATAGTTTAATTAATCCTTTTTGAG